CATAGTCTCGTTTTAAGATCGCACACATTCCATCAGTGGAACAGTCGTAGTAGTCACAACGAGACCCATTATTGGAATGGTACCTCGCAGCAGTAAATCTTTAATTTCTCAGAGAACATTTTCAAGCGAACTAGATGTTTTATCAATTGGCCAAGCACACTGAAATAATAGTATTGGTAAGCGGCAACGTATGGCGGGGCTGCTTTAAGACATGTCGAGACCTAGTTCTAGTTGTGAAGCAGAGTGCAGATAACTCAAAGCAGATAGCAGAACCGGGTGCAGGCAAACTTCGTGGATGTTAACTGGAGACAGATATTTCAACGAGGGCAGTCATAATATATATAAGACACTAGTACATCAGAGGCAAACATGGATTTATTAAGAACAGTGCGTAAAGTGAAGTTAATGTATTGGTCGCAGAAGTCGCAGCTATAAGTCTAGGGGTTATACATGTAGCACAGACGCCGAGCTCAAGCATAAAACGTATATAGAACTGACGAGTAACAGACATTAAGTGAAGGATATAATTACGCTGCGGACTTGGATTTTTTTTACTCCGATACGTCGAACCAGTCATGAAGTGTGTGTACACGCACCTGGGAGGCGATATACAGGTAAAAATACGTTGTCTTCTGCACGTAGACAGCAGCAGCGTTCAGACATAATTGCTATCGTGAAGACGGTCTCTCATGCGACAAACAGAGGTTGAAAGACAGACTAACGGTTTGAACGGACAGATTCTCCTTTTATAATCGAACTGGTTTGGGGTTGGGGTTTGGGGGGTGGTGGCTAAGAAATCGCACCTGTTCGTTCTCAACTCTTTTCATAAATACATCTTACGCTAGGGATAGAAATTGTAGTGATCTGTTACAATATGTGCTTGGGGGGGGGGGGGGGGGGGGGAGGACTGTGAAGTTAGGTCTGCATAAAAAGCATATTACTGGCCTGTTATATTATAAAAATATGGGGTGTATTTAAATGCATGTGTTAAATAAATAGAAAGCGAATTAATGATAAAAAATTATAGAATCCTCGTAGACGAGCACCAATAGCGTTAGTTAATAAAGGGCAAGATTGTACCGGTGTACCCGAGACTATTGGGATATTTTCCTAGTTAGTGACCAAATAGGTCGGTGAAATGGCAGATCAGTCAAACTGTTCAAACATAGCGCACATATTAAAAGTAAAGCAAGCAGATGCGTTTATTTTTTGATAAGATCAAAGGTGACCGCAACCCCGCAAAGTGCGTGCGCACCAGACGATAAGCGCTGTGAAAAGATGTTTTCGCAAACTTTTTCCCCCAGTTTACTTTCTGGCCGTGTGAAAACATTTTGTTATTGAAGCAGTCTCCGCCGTATGTTGCATTGTGTCGGTTTTAATTCTTCAGCTCTTTGGGAATATTTATGATAGTCAAACTTAAACGGTAATTTGATACCGAGGTTGTTAACTATGTCTCATTTTCTTTGCCTTCAAAATCGCTTCCTTGTATTCAGCATGCTTGGTCTTTTAATGTGTTGTATATTAAGAACGCTGATTAAAACCCCAGGTTTTCATTTAACCGACGTGCTTAAAAAAAAACCCGACAAACTCTCATCGCGAAAAGTGAGTATGAAAGCAAGGGACGCAGCTGTTTTTCTCACGTTCACGACCTTTGACCCCCAGATGGGAAGAATCAACAAGTAAGATCAAAGGGATCGGATTCCACGTTTTTTTCTATGGTTCACGTCCCGTCGCACAATCAGTGACAGAAATTGCACCGTTAAAGGTTGACGGATACAAAGGAAAAGTTTTGTTCCTTTAACATCCCCCGCTATAGGTCTCGGGATGTGTTAAATTGAATCTTTGGGGTCACTACCTCTTTTTATCACTGTTTTTTGTTACAATGATGGTTTTGTTGAATTATGTGGCATCTCGACGTTTTCTTGCGTCTACCAATACGCATGCGCAGGGACTCGGCGACAAAAAGAAAAAAAAAAACTCTCTCTCTCTCTCGCTCACGTGCGTTCCCTCTGTGCGTGTGTTCTTATTGTTGTTTGATGTCAACCTAACCCCTAACTCCGCCCGAACACTAATAATATTATTTACAGCTGTCCCCAAAAGGATGTCCAATATTATTGAAATAATTTTCAGAATATCATTACATTTTTGATCAATAATTTGAAGAATCGCGAGTAATCTGACACGGAACAAAACTTGCGCTGGAAACGTTAGCGGAAATCGATGGTGTGCCTGATCTATGCGCAACGTCAAAGAGCCGACGCCGTTTTTTGTTTGACCAAAAATTTATCAGGGTTTACGCTGCGTTGATTACTCGTCGATTAATTTAATTGGTACGATAAAATTGAATTCCAAGTCTTGAGGTGCGGGATAGTGCATTTCGGGATCGGTAGGGCTTACAAATATGTCAAGATAATAAAAATGTACAACATACAAATTCGGAGAGGTTTTTGATAAGGTAGATGTTTATGTGAATTATAATGCCCCCAAAACTCTTGATGCTAGATGGATATATCTTTAATTTGACTACCCGAGTCCGTTAGATTTGACTCAATGATGGCTTTTGTTGAAACCAAATAAATACATCACAGCAAGGTCTTGATGGTAACTTCAGTGACGTCTCTAGTGCGGCAGATATTTGTCTTGAGTGAAGGCATCAATACTTCACATTCAATGACTTCAGGGTTCTCCAAGGATATGTCTTGACTCGACTGTCGTCAACTGGCGCCAAGGAGTGTTACATTTTCTGGAGAAAACTTCCTTCTTTGAGTGTTTTTTCAACAGCCTGATTCTCAGTAATACAACCAAATACCCGCCTATTCTCCAAGGTTTGCGACGCGCACAGCGTTCCCTATGACAGACGGCTGTTAACTCGATTATAATTTTACAGCAATATTAAACTATCCGAATACGCATGGCGCAACAGTTAATGACGGCCACATGCACTTTTATAAACCTTACTGATGAAGTGTTTTAGTCATACTTATTAATACAACCGAGTCAACAAACCTCTAATGCCGCCTCTCGTAGAAAAAGGTCAATGCACGAATATCGGCGAACTGATCTGTACGTGTTGTTATTAAACTGCCATAGACGGAATGCTTGGGTTCGATCAGTTTCTTAATTAAGGCGGGGATTAAATCAACATAAGTAGAGTTGTTTTTTTCATTTATTTTTACAATAATATACTATTTGTTTAATTTGGGTGCGCCATTCATGCAAAATGATGTCTGTGTGTATGTATCGAGTGCGTTTCTTTTGGTGGTAGGGCTAATTATGAAGAGAATGTTCTTGGTTTTCATTCTAAAGATCGAAGATGTTTTGTTAAGTGTTTTCGAGCAGGGTGAAAGGCAGTGGCGCGTTTCCCCCCCGGCATTAAGTGCATGTTGATGATCATCAATGTAACTGTCAACTTTTCAACTTGTCAGGTGTCATTCTTCGGTTTGTGACTTTATAAGCGTCTGTTTGGCCGGTGTCACTTTGTTCTGTTATGTCACGTATGCATATCCAGCATCCAGGTGGCCGCTAGAACCATTTTCCGTCTTAAAAATGACCTGGGTTTATAACCCGAAGGTTGTGACATTTATTGCTAGCACTAACTGCACTGGTTTTAAAGGAAAAAAAGAGAGAGGAGAGTAACCGGCTGGAAAAAAAATGAAATAATACGTATTTCAATCAATACAAAAAAAATGAGTTGAATATCCATGTTAATCCTTTCATCCTGTGCCGTATTGGCCCCAAAGACTGCATTGCGCTAAGTGACGTTTACAGTGCACATTTTGGGGCTATATTTCAACCAATAGGGCATGTGCGTATATTCACTGCGGCTTTCAAAGAAGAAGAAGAAAAAAGCCGACAGAAATACGTGTGTGACCTTAGATACACTGACTGCTAAATTAGGTGGAACATAGTGGAATTAAGTTGAACCACGCAAACGCTTTTTGTGTCATTTCAGATCCGAGGGCGCGCAGACGACAGGCCGACAATTCCTCTGAAATGTGGAAACTCGTGGTCGCAGCGGAAAATGTCGAAGAGTGACGTTAAATTAGGTGAGAAAAAATTTTTAACAATTTGAAGTCCTATAATTTTTCTGTGAACTCGAAAATATAACGAAAAAGGGAGCGATGTAAACGTAAGAAATTTCTTTCGATATGCATACTTGGTTGGAAGACTCTTTTATTAATCATTATATTAGCGAATTGATGTATTGTATCGAATGCAATACATCCCTACGTACTGCAATTAAGACAAAAAACCTTAAATTTCTTTTGTAATTTAGAATGTGAGAACTGACATATTTTTTCAAAGAAATTGCCGGTATTATTTGATGAACCCGTCGAATAGCCGTAAAACTTACGTCATCTTCCAACAGAAAAACAACACTAAAAATACAATTGACATCGGCTGACGTCCTAACACGACCTTCGAACAGAAATAATTATTATCGACTAAATGTGGAATCTTGTAGGTTTACAGAGAGACGTGTCGAGAACTCGGAGGAATACGTGTTTCTATTTCCAGAGATATTTTTGTTTGCACAATAGCCGTATGGAAATATTGCCTCTCTTTCCTCGTTGTTTAGTCTTTTAAGTATACACTAGGGAAGCGGTGTCCTCTGCGAAGGTTCTCTGCGTAAAAGGACGCTTGATTGTACTCAATCAAGGCAAAAAAATAAAACAAAGAGCAAATGGGAAACATACGGAAATTATTTTGATGAAGAAAATAATGCAGGATAAACACAAAAGTTCCGTATGACGGAAAGCGAAGACCGAAGACCGAAGCAGAGAGAGAGAGAGAGAGAGAGAGAGAGAGAAGAACTCAATCCTCAGCTCGTTTCGCTTCTGGGGCGTTTTCATCAGTTCAGAGCTCCTCGCGGCGGTGTCTAAATCACGGCGGTATTCGGGCAGCACGTCTGGAGATATGGGCACGCTGCTTCTCTCTCCAGACCCGTACCCCGGTGACAGACCCACCTGACAGCGATGTCCCCATTAAGGTATATTAGATAACTGCGTTGTAATTCCTCTTTAACGACTAAAGCACTCGAGTCGCAGAGCCTTAAAATCTTAGGATTAAGGTTGCCACAGCGTTTGTTTGGCAGCGTTTAGGGACGGATGTATTTATACTTGACTTTTTTTCGGATCTGCAATTTGTATCAAAATTTTGTTTGTTTTTTTACTGACACCTTTTAAGTGTTACGTCACCACATTTATTACAGACAACAAAACCCAAAGTAATGATAATAATTATTATTATTATCATTTAGATTTTTAAGCTACAAATGAAAAAAATAAATAAAAAAAATTCAAAGAACGTTCCAATAGCACTATGCGGAAGTAGGGTAATGCCTCAGTGCATGCAAACTCAGCAAAGACAATATACACGCATAGAGCCTGTACAAGAGGCTCCCCTTCTCCCGCCACTGGTTCTCTCCATACCAGCAGAGTATAGAAACCCAGTCAACAGGGGATCAGCAGAGCTTCTAGGGCCCTTTAAACCCTCATTTATCTCGCCTGTGTTTTGTCCCCGTGTCAGGCGTGTATACAGGCCCAGTTACCCTCATTAAATAAAATCGGTATCAACTGTTTTGATATGTTATTGATTGAAAGAAAGCGTTCGATAAGATATGACCAGAAGAAAAAGGCATAGTTAGGGGGTCAGGCAATACAGGCGATCGACCACGGTGTTCGATACCCGTGGGGAGAGACTGAGGAGATCAATAGATGGAAATTAAAATTGTAGGGTTAGAAACGTAGATAAGCTCTCTAAAAATGGGTTATTTTGAAAAATGGATTTTCAAAATAGAGTTTTGTTTATTTATGTAAGAGATTTTCTAGGTCAGATAATGGCAAGGGGGAATCCGTATAAAACCAATATGAAGCTGTCAATAAGACGTCATAATAGAGGTCTCTCTAATTTGTTATCGGTACAAGTGCAATTTTGCACTTTTTCACTCTGTGCATAAAACCTCCGAAAAGAGAAAAGTGCGTTTTTAAAGGAGAAACAGTTGGAATCGAACTTCTACACCTTGATATCAGGGCCTCATTTAAATACTTACAAAATATAACGCTTTGGTGCTTTTCAACATTGTTGTAACACGTTAATAGTGCACCCTGTGGTCAGAGAGTATGTCAGAAACATCGTGTTTGCTGTTCTCCTCTGTCCTGCTGAAGTTTTCCTTCGTCTCTCCCTCAAAGCACGGCGCCCACTGTTAACTCTCGTGGCCGGCTTAACTATCCTCTTAACTCTGTAAGTCGCTCTCCGTGCGTTTCTGTGGATATAGGTTGGATACAGTATTATCTTAAGTACTGCGGGCTCATAATTTACACCGATCACTTCCAGCGTTTGGATATGCCAAACTCTTTTGACTTGGACGAGCATTTCCTACATGGTGTGTTAAAAAGAAGGACAATGACATACATCACAAGTTTGGCGGTTTAAAAGTTGAACATGTGCCTCTAGATCTCCAAGTTTTGGGAGAGGGTTTGTGCGAGTGAAGAAGAGGGGAGGAGAGTGCTTTGTTGGGACGACAGAATAGTTTTTGGATAAAATATACGACAAAGGCAAATAAAAACAGTGACCCACAGCGCAGTATAATTCTACAGACAAGTTGTGTTTGTGCCATTGAAATGGATTGAAGAAGCGCATTTTAAAAAGAGGCGATTCACCGCTTGTTCCTTAACGATGTCGTAAAATAATTTGGAATACAGTCGGGAGTGACGCTGTGGTCGGGGGTGGGACTATTCAGATCGAGACTATAGGAAAATACAACATAGTGGGCTGACAGTGTCACCAGACCCTGTCTCTCTGTTGTGGTCATCGAATCACTTGCTGTTATGACAAACTGCTGGGGAAGATGAACTACATTAATTTTATTCTTTTATAACCAAATAACCAATCAAGATATGAACATAGTGGGGGTCAATGTCTAACCTAGATCCAGGCATAAAATGGACGCTGGAAAAATAGAATTGATACCAAACACTCCACGTAAAGGTGAGGTTAATGTCTTATTAGACAGTAATGGAAATAGAAAGTTACAAGATTTTTCTTTGATGAGTTTACTTGACTCGTTTATTTGATGTATTCTGAAAAGCAAAGTCTTTACTTTTGAAGTTTTCAGGTGAGAAGAAAATCGATGGGGTATTAGTTTACTGGAACGATTTCCATGTATGATATAGAACGATATGACTTTGAACTATGTTATACTATAGTAAATGGCAATTTGACAAACAACGCCCATCTCCATCAACGAAATCACGTAATACCTCCCTGAACTGTTTTAACAATTGAAATAGTATACTGACAATTATTTAGTTCCTGGAAAAATACGAAAAAAATCGTTATTTCCTCTCCCATGAGGTACTGTTTTCGCTGAAAAAATGTCGGAAAAGGTTTGACCAAATGGCTAAATAGTTTTTATAGAAAATCTGCTTGTAAGATGGACGTTTTAGAAAAAAAATCTGCTTGTGAGGGGACGCCAACACCTGCTGCTGCGCTCCTTGCTGGCCTTATCGCTGCTAGTGTTGACTCTAACTAAGACAGGTAAGATAAAATCTTAGTGAAGTGTCCACTTCAGTCCACTTTGGACAGACCACGTGATGCGGCTTGCTGGACATAGCTGGAATTCCTACGATGAAACAAAGCACACATTTATATGGTTTGCTATGAAATATAGCATCGCGTTGTTTTCTGCGAGTTCATGAATGAAGGTAGCTACAGATCCTTAACAAGGTGGGGTTTGTCTTGTGACGTAAAAAGTCTTGTGACGTATTGGATATACGCTCTTTAAAGGTCTTTGTACAGAATGTGACGTCCTTACACGGGTCTTTAAACAGGATGTGACGACAGTGACAAATCTTCTACCGTGAACTTGTCCCACGAGCAATGAGGAATATTACACTTAAACAGAACATGGCCATCATGTAAAGAGAAAAATATATACCATATATATATAGAATGGGAAGGAATGAAGGGGGAGGGGGTTATGAAATCAACAAGGAGAGGTCCGGACCTTACAGAACTTGCGGCAGAACTTGAGCAAAATGTTATAAGACTTGAGATTAATTTACTATACGAGCTCTAGCTCTACCTGACAGCGTCCCAGGGGTAATCGTACTGGGGTTCATAGCACACACACAAACTATCCCGGGCAGTCGAGACTGAGAGTTCGCTCGGGGCCCCTGGCTGCTTGGGCGGAGGGATTAAGTCACAATTTAAGAGAATTTCTTAATCCCAGACACCGGATATGTCTGAACGCGTTATGTTATATTACCTGCGTTATTTAACGTGTGACAAATGGGCTCATAAATTGTGTACGGAGAATTGATCGTAGCTCTAGTAAGCTTACAATACCATACAACCTTAACGCACCCACAAAGGCCACAGCTCGGCGTGTTTTTGTTTCTATGGGATGGAAATCTTACATCTTAGATATTGTCTGGGGCTGATTAATCTGTTGAGTAAAAAGAGGTGAGATGGGCCGGCAATAAATATGAAAGGGATTAATTGACGCTGTTTTACTGCCAGTACCGCCTGAGAATTTTTCTACTGACTAGTTCGAAATTTGGGCACTAATGACCAAAGAAACACGTTCATTGGTTTGAAAAAAATATCTCCTGTTAATTTGATTTGATTTTATTATTTTTCGTGATAAAAGCAATTTCATGACTGTCTAGCTTTCAATCCTATACCCGGCCCAGATTCTTATCACGTCGAGAATGCTGTAAAGTATTCATAAAATGCGATCCCTTCAGTTGTGCGAACCGGCGTGGTGTGTTATTCTTCTTAGAAAATTTTATTCATTTAAACAATTACTTAACGTTGGAAACTGCCAAATTACGCATTAAGTCGTAAAAAATTTTAAAAGCTACTATCATGTAACACAGATTTCCGTTTGAACTAATCAACCCCTTGATTTTTAAAAGACTTTTGATGCATTTTTTAAAACAAATTTCTTTACGAATAACGTAGGATTGAAATTATCGCAAAACTTACCAAGGAGATCGGTAATAATTGTGTCAATGCCAACAAGAGCAAACCGTTCCGACTTAAAACGCGAATGTCATTACAGCGGCCTTTTTCGATTTGAAATATTCAATTATCCCTGTTAATAATTTACCCGATTAAGCAGGCAATCAAAGTCAAGAAAATCAATGTGTACACAATGGTTCGAATGGCGTTAAACCATCGACCTGAACTGGCGCGGTAACAGTTCATTATAGAATTCATCTACAGCCACATTGAACGCGTTCTTCTAAATACCCTTAATTAACATGGTAGAACAAGAAGATTAGAGTCCGGTATTGGGGCGTTAGTACCCGTCAGAGAGATTATGTCATTAAATACTGTGCTGTAATTGCACTGGTGTAGATGGAGGACTTGTGCTTGGTTTTTCCGAAGTTCCTGCAGATTGGGAAAGGACTGGGACATCGGCCTACAGTCTACACTGTAACTTCTTTTTGGTAAATGTATTGACTCAGCCCCGGAGCACAGTCTAAAGTATCAGCTGAGCTAGTGACAGAGAGGCGTTTAAGCCGTTAACCAAAAGTGTGCGTCGGTGGAGCGTGCCAGATCTCAGTGCCCCTCAGACACCGAAATTGGTATGACGATCATTCACGATTTCAATGAACTTACATTTTTTTACAGTTCTTCTTCGGATCACATATGCTTTGCGCTTATTATTTTTTTCAGGTCAGGTCTCATTCCATCTCCATATTTTCAAAGAGAACATTTATATGTATACTTGTCTTTAAATAGTGTGGTACACTTCCTTCTTCATTTGAGTCACGTTTTCATGTTTTTCAGCCCCTGAACAAGCCTAGTTCGCCTGCCTCGGGTTGATGCCATTGACGCCCTACCATGACCAAAGACATGTCGTATTTACTGAACAAAAGCACACAAGAGCTCTATGGTAAGAAATACCATGAAATGCTCAAACGTTTTCAATCGAAAGGGAAGAAAGAAAGAGGGAGTATCAAGCCCACCTTATCAAGGACGTCAGTCATGACGTCAGGGACACAAGACTCTGGGATTATTCATGACGTCACGCATCACGCGGAAAACCATGATGCAAGCGTGAGCTCACGACGTAAAAACTCCGTTGCGAGCCGCGATACTCCGCCACGGGTGGTGGTCTCGGAGGACCAAGCAGACGGGGGTGAGGAACCCTCTCAAATACAGCGTCCACAAACTAAAGGTTCTTTGGGTTTAGGATTGTTGAGTGAAGGGTTTGCTTCCAAAGAGAGAAGCAAGGGCAGGAAGAGCGCCACCGACCAGAGCCGTAGCCACAGCGAGCCGTCGTTTCTACCGCCTATAACCCCTGGGCAGTCGGGACTCATGACGCCTCGAAGTCGTTACGCTCAAAGTTTAAGTCCGCTCTCCAGGCGCGAGGATATTACCCCCCTCCCCAGCCCCAGCATCTCCCCAAGACTTTCTACCCTCCCTCAACAGAATACTAGTCAACAAGATCACGAAAGCAGCGACAAGAAAACAACGTCTACTATTGGGGAGAATTCTTCGCCGCCGAATATTAAACAGGAGATGCTTCACGGTCTCGGCAACTCTCACGAGACCACGACTAGTCAGGAATCAAACCCGGACGCGCAGCATTCGAAGCGAAAGAGGAGAAAATTGAAATTTGAACGGGAACCTACGATTATAACAAAACATGAGGAATACCAAAAACATACGCGGGAGCTTACGAAACAGTTGCATTTAAAAAGCAAACCCATGGATTTACGAAAGCGCCCTCCTAAAGCAGAGGACGTAGCTCAGTTCGCAGAAACTAGTAAGGACGAAGAACAGTTTTCAATTAGGAAGAAAATTGAGCAATTCAGAAAATGGCATGAGGACCAATATAAAGAAAAACTGGAGAAACTGAGACTTGACTCTGAAAAAGCGGAGTACAGCCGCACTCCGCAGGTACCGGTGTTAAACGGAACCGTTCAGGACGTTTTGAAAAAATACCACAACATAGACGCAGATCCGCTCGAAGTAGATTCGTTAAAAATGGCGGTAGTATCTGTGGATCGACGCGGAACGGACTCTCTTAAAATGCCTGTTCCAGCACCGGTTTCTATAAAAGGGGCTGCCATAACAACAAGAAAACCTCCCCTAGATGAGGTTAAATCGTCTCCCCAGCCGGTGGAACGACAGAAAACGAGAATTCAAAGGAAAGCACGGGACTTACAGATTTCTGAAAAGGGATCTCGAAAATCAAGGAGACTTCGTAGAATGGATGCTCAACACAGCGAGGATGACGTCACAATTCAAACAGAGACTCCAGTGACGTCACCACTAGCTGACGACGTCATACAAAGGTTAAATGAAAGTGGCCAACATAAAGTGACTAGTAATCAAAGTAACGCGAATATGGGCAGTCCATCACCAAAAGAAATGACACTTGCGCAGACAGAACAACACACGTCACATCAAGTAAATGAGCAAAACACGTCCCAACCAGCAACGAACGAAATGAATCCACCCCCAGAGCGTGATCAGAAATCAGCCGGCACATGGAGAACGTGGCGTGATGTCAATGAATCTGACGCCTATAATGACGTCAAAAAGTACATTATTGACAACGATCTGATGAACGCTGAAAAGGAGCAATGGATATCGTCATGGGTTAACAGCGTAGATGTAGCCAGAGAGGTTGCCACGCCAATGACTGAAGAAAGAATTGTTGCTGAACAGTTGGCAAAATTGCAAAAGTAATTTTGAAGTTATTTGGATGAAATAGTTTTCCTTTTTTTTTAGAAGAAGGGTCAGAACGTCAAAACCTAGATCCACTCTCTGTGGGAACGGTCTAATTTTTTGCTATTTTAATTTTGTCACTCAGATTTCGCAGAATGCTGTTTTTTAGAACATTCTTTTATGTCAGTGAGTCTTTTTCCTATATGATCAACTGAGTCAACTGAGATTTTGTAAAAGTAATGAAATGATTTCCGTAAGATCGTAGGCCTATTGCAGATATCAGTCCACCAAACTCAACGTTTTGTGGAAACCACAAAGGATACATCTTTCGATTTTACACTTTTCGAGATATCTGTGATGGGAGTTTAAGACTACCTCAATTTTGTAGTTCTGTATATCTGTATATCTGTATTGTTTATCATCGATCTCTTTTCAACATTCCACTTCAGACATGTTGTATCCAAACTGACACCTCGAGATTTGACGTTAATTCTCGAGAATTTTAGGGAACATACCAAGGTTTTTTTCATCAGAATGGCGTGTGACTCTAGAAGGATCATTTATTGCTATAAATATATTTAAGTGCCATATATGACATCGAGATGAAGATGAAATTCAGGACGGAAGTGAAGGGTATACTGAGATGTTTTGTATGTTTTTGACGGAAGCAATAATACAAGTTTTGTATTATGTAAATACTCTTGTTTGTGTCTGAAAAAAAAAGGGGGGAACAAAATCCATTGTGAGGGGCACATCTTCCTGTATATATTTCATATATTTCACTCGGCCCATTGGTAAATGCACTAAAACCAAAAGACCTTTCATCATTGATCTTATTACACATCGATTTGACAAATCAATTTGAGAAAAACAAAATTTCTTCGTATTTATTTACATAAGCACCCTTTCTCGTTTCCACTTACGAGTCTTGTAAATCTCCTAAATTGTCTACAGAAGATATTACCATTTCGAAAGAGCATTTCATTTTGCCCGTGATTTACAGCTATTTGTTGTAGTTACTATCTTCATTAAAGTGTATTTTGTAACTGGATTTAATCCCCACTGCGGTGACATACTAAATATGCTATTACAACCATTAATCATATCCAGCGTGTAAGGACATTGTAACGGCAATCAATAGCGGAACGTGTAGTCCAGCGCACATGGAAATTTTCAAGCTGAATTTTCAGGGTGGCCTGGTTAGAGTCATCAGAAAAATTTGTGTGATGGCCTTATTTATATTTCAGATATTTTTTCACACAAAGAATCATTGTCATATAAAAAGAGGATATTTAGTATGTCGAGTGAGGGTTAGGCCTATAAATTACTATGAAATCGTACCACGACACCCTTATTCAATGGCCTTTGTTCATGCTTGGAATGCTCCCTTTCTTAAGAATGCCGTGACGTCAGTATCAGGTTGAAAAAAAAAAAAAAACGCGTCCCATAAATTCAAGAGTGTACACTTGCAGTATTTGGTGCGTCTAATATCAATTTATCTGTCATTAAAGATTGTTGACTGTCTGTCTTCACGAGTCGCCCTGGGAAATGTTTGTCTCCCCTTCATTCCGCGGTCACAGGAAGCCTATATTATACACTAGCGGATTAAAGTTTAGCTAAGAGAGAGAGAGGGGGGAGGGCAAAAATACAATATGTATAAATTAAAAAAAATAAATAAATAAATAAATAAATAAATAAATAAATAAATAAATAAATAAATAAATAAATAAATAATATTTCGAGCAGTGTAAGACAATGAATGCGGGAGGACAATTTTAATACGATATATTAGCTGACAAGCTTGAAAAGCTAGTTGCTTTTCGCTTGTGATACTGTTAAGGTTGGGGGAGGGGGGTGGCGAAGGGAATAGGAGGTACTCCTAAAACTAATGGAAGGCCACGTGGCAACTTGATATACAGAGAAAAAGACCTTGTATTATGATGGCAGACAACACGCTACGCGTGGTAATTTTTAAGTACGAACAATCCAACCTAGAACGTCTTTTGATATCATGGTTCAGAATTCACTTCACTTTAACATGATCATGTTAGCCTTGTCAACGCGATGCCACAATTTCTTCCGTTGACATATAAAGCAATCAAAACACGTCTTTTTACCGATGAAGCACACCTACTCAACTATATAGGAGCCACTCTGCTGAGATGAAATAGTTAAATCAAAGTAATAGGAATATTAAATGTCAGAACTGGAAGAAACACGCGGGTCCCAGTACGCGCACACTGCTAGTGGTTTGATTGCGTTAGTTGCGTCACTGAAGGTGAAACAACAAACACACTGCTCGCAGTATACAACTCACACAGCTTCCTCACAGATACGGGATCTAATAACTTAGACTATATGACATTACTGTAACAACCTACTGCCAATTGCTCCATGCAAACGTGGTGATTTAACTTTGTAATTCTACAGATTGTATACAACTACCCTCTAAATAAACAGTTAGCATTGGGACTAATCACTTAATCTAAAGTTTTACCACAACAAAAAAGAAAGTGATTCTGTTTGAGCGCAACCGACGACCAAAGTGTAATCAATGTAATCATCCAACTAGAAAACAGCTAACTACCTTCCAGGCATTTATTATGTCTTTATTCAATTTGAAAAAAATTAAGTCTTTTATTTAATAACTCAGACACATTTCTAAAGCTCAGCAACAATGGTGCCTTTTGTTTTCATTTTGAGGATCACTGGCCTTTCTTTTTTTTTATTTTTATACGCATTTCAGATACAGCACTTCCAGATCTTTCATTTACAACATCTTTTGTGGTGTAGCGTTTCTGTGGAGATTAACTGTATTTATAGTAATCAGTGTAAAGGAGCTAAAATAAGAACCAAGCTTTGAAGATGATCATTTCCAGAACATGAGCTCAAATTTCTCACAATATTCTGCTTATTGTTCTGTTAGTGTTAAGTCAATCTTTTTGTCCTTCTGGTTGCTCCATCTCACGTGTCCTGCCAAAAATGACCTCTTCATCAAGTTTGACCTTTAATCTTTACCCATCTTTTAACAATCCTGCTTTTGATCCTGATTTTGACCACCATCTTTTTTTTTCCATTTATTGTGAGCAAGATTTAAACAATTCAACTTGACTTCTGATCTTGACCTCTGACCTGGCCTCAGATCCTGACCTTTGACCTCAGCCACAAAATGTCACTCTCTCCACTGGTGCCCACACTTCATGTCGCAGCACTTGTAAAATGTCGTCATTGGTTCATCAGCGGACCGCGTCTGGATCTGCATGAAAAATGCTCGGGGGTGCGCACATTTAGGACAAGCCTCTGGAAACAAAACAGACGAGAAATATTATATTTTAGAATGACTTGAATGACACACAATTCCATAAGCAGCACAGTTATGTTGCCTTATTAATGACAAATATATTGTGTGACACCTACATTTTGTTAGCTGTGCTGTTGTGTTAGATGTGACATTGTGTTAGGTATGACAGTGACATTGTGTTAGGTGTGACACTGACATTGTGTTAGGTGTGCCATACCTTCAGTAGAGTCCACATTCTCCCATGCAGCAGCTCCTCCCAGCACATCATCCACCTCCTTCAACCTGGGGTAATGGCGGTTTGTAATCTGGAAGTAGGAGTGAGAAATAATAGTGCTGGAGCTGACACAGTCTGCAACATAAACACTGGTTACACATGTGAAGGGAGATATCAAAAAGGACAGACTAGCCTTGGCTTAATTGTGGAACAAATAAAAGAAATTTGCAATCACTACCAGTACAAAAAAAAAAAAAAAAAAAAAAAAAAAAATTCGCCACTGCTGCTGCCTATACATATACATATACATACCTATACATGCTATTCACTTTGGGAAATACTGTGCAGTGCATATTTTAAATTAAATTAAAATATAAAATGTTATAAAAAATATTGTATATATATGCATAAACATAAATATCACCTAAATGAATACTGTCACTATCTACAGACTCAACCCATTCCGAACAAAAGAAGAAATCGGTTTAAGACTAATAAGTCGGGAAATATTCAACATGCATTCTCAATCTCACTTCTCAGTTTACACAAGCCTAACTTTACTTACTTTTTGCTGTATATTATATACGTAAGGACAAGTATTACATGCAAATCTGAAGCACTTTTGTCCCTCTTCCACCACCAGCACATTGGCACACACGGGGCAAAACGTCAGCATGACTGTGGTTCAAATTATCCTATATAATTAAACTACATGTTAGGAACTAAAGAGCAACTTCCTCTATCACAGAACTCCACAAGTCTCGTTGATCACGTGACATTCAAACTACGATTTATTACAAAGTTCGGCATATTAGAAGAAAAATATAACTCATAATTGTAATAGTCACCTTTATGGATAAACGTGTGGCATTAGTTATGTGATTTAGCCATTTAAAGGTTTGGAATTTGGCTGTAGATTTAGACTCTCGTTGCAGACGAGACTTTTTAATCAAGATGTCTGCGCCCATGTTGACACCATCTGATTGAGCAAAAGAACATTGATTTCATCCTAATGTTTATGTAAGGAGGTCTCAGTTGTTTGTAATGGAATCTGAAAATGCTCCACATGTAAAAGAAACTGCAAATGAGGAAGAGAGACATAATGCAGGTGAGAAATATTAAGATTTAAAAAAAAAACAAAAAAAAAAAAACGGCTGCTGTTTGAAATTTTTATACTCATTATATTCATAACTGTCTCTCGTGTCTGTCTGTTCTTTGTTTAGCATCTGAGGAATCTGTGCGGGAAGATAACGAAACAGAAAAGATCGATGCTGGGGAGAGGAGGGCAGAGGAAGAGGAGGAGGGAGAGAGTGATGAATTGTCCCACAAGGACGCCATGAGGACGGTGAGGGAGGACCTCGCCATCTTAATTCAGGTAGATTTGTCAGTTGTTATGTTGTGAAGTTGAACATTTGCACTTTGCCATATTCTTTCATGCCATCCCTCTTTCAAATAAAGGAAGAAAAAAAAATTACTTTACAGTTTGATGGTTTAAGTACCCCCCCCCCCCCAGCCCCCGCGACCTGCCTACTAGTACACTGTTGACACTGGCTCAACACCAAACCATTAAAATTGAAATTGGGCCAGTAGGTTAGTAACTGGAAAAAGAATATTTTTAGTACCTATGCTCTTAAATTCTTTTCCTTTGGCACAGACTACCATTCTGGCAATGAGCAACAGCTTTTATTTATTTATTTTTTCATTTGTTTATTTTTTTAGTATTATATTGCATTTATTTTGCAGAATGATCCATTACTGTCTGACCTTCCACCTGAGATAACACTGGAAGAAGTGAACTCTCAGATTGCACTGGAGTATGGACAGGCTCTTACAGTGAATGTACGGAGAGAGGATGGAGAAGTAATGCGTAAGTGTCAAGCAGACTGATGCTAAAGAAGATTATAGGCAGGTTTGGATTGTAAATATAATATTGATAATTTTTCATAATCTGATTTTTTTATTCTTTGTAGCAGTTGCTCTATTTGGACCAGATGTCATATTTGTGCCAATTTGAATCAGAAATAATTTTTTTCATGGCAGTTTTCCACCAGAAGCATCCTCCAGATTCTTTGTCATTAGATATTCCTCCCTATTTTTTTGCACTCATGTTGTTCTGCACTGGAGATCCAGGCCCGTAGCCAGGGGTAGTTTGGGGGGGTTCGAGAGAACCGCCCTTTTTGCTAGAAAAAGGTCCACTCTGGATAAAATTTGATCTAGGTACATGAAGTTTTAATGGAAAAGAGTCCACTTTTTCAGAAAAAGAACCCCCCTTTTGAAATTGCTGGCTACGGGCCTGAGATCAGAAATCTTCAGTCATGATTTTGGGTTGTAAGAGCTCATTCAGAATGGGGAACTAACAGATTCACAGATCAAATATGGCCAACTCTCTGGAAAGCTTGGTGCATATAATCCCCAGTGGAAATCTATTTAGTGTCTAATCCTGAATTAAGCGACAAGCTTTTTAGTGGGTCGCTATATTTGATCTGCCAATCTGTTAGTCCACTGTTCTGAATGCGCTCTAAGAAAGAGCAATCAAATAAACTTTTATAGTTTCTTCACAATCTTCACCTCTTCAGCCATAGTGGTAGTCCAGGGAGGCACAGTGAGGGATCTGAAGGAAGGCGTTAAAAGATACGTGATGCTGAAGCAGCACCGAGCAGAGGGAACTAAGTGTATCAGCTGGTGAGATCTAGAAAGGAGTGTAAAACTTTGAGAGGGGGAGGTAAGGGTTGGGGTTGGGGAATGGCAGGGATAAGGAGAATATGCTAAAACATATAATGTGTATTAGGTGGTTATATTGTGTTAACTGGTGAGATCCTGAAAGGAATAAATGGCTGAGAGAGGGGGGTGGGGAGGAGAATGACAGGGATAGAAGTATACATACTGAAACATACAATGTGTATTAACTGGTAGAATACAGAAGGGAGTATATATGTGGGGAGGGGGGGCCAGGGGGGGGAGGTGAACAAATACATACTAATTGTTTTAACTGGTGAGATCCAGAAGGGAGTATACATGTGGCTGAGGGGGAGGGGACGGGGAGGGGGACAAGATGAATGAAGAGAATATACTGTATGATGAGGCTGGGGAAAGCACAGCTTTAAAGGACCTGAGATATCAAACATTATATCATTATGGTATAATATGGTCAGAAGGATTATGTTATTAAGGGATATTTAATGTCGAAGTTTTTGTTTTCTGTTTTAAAATGAGCATGCTATTTCATTTGATTGGAATACTACTATTACTAATTGCTATTTATTTATTTAATCTGTCATTGCATAAAGGGAAACATTGATATATAATTGAAATTGCTAGTTTTTTCACATTTCTTTTACTCCTGTATTGCAGGCGCTACATTTGGCGAACATACTGGTTATATTTCAATGGGCAGAAGCTGACAGAGGACAAAAAGCCAATCAAAGAGTGAGTTTATTTTAATTCCTGAAAAATGTGACCAACTTGTTGCAGAATTTTTTTCATTCTCCTTTTCATTCAAGTCTTACAACATCTCACTAAGTTTTGTTTTCAGAAAATGAACAAAGTTCCTTCATTCAAGCTTGAACACATGGGAATACAATGAAATAAAAAAGAACCAATTTTGATTGAAAGTTCAGATAGGATATAGGAAATTTTAGTTTGAAAGAAATTATAGAGTAAAGATGCATTCATCTTCAATTGTTTCAGATATGGCATTGGCAACCGTGATGAGGTGACATTCATTAAGAGGCTGAGACAGCGATGACAGTGCCACCTAATTGATCAGGATGAGAATTTGCCCTCCATGATTGATGAGCAGACCATTTCTGGGGTTTGTGGTAACAGCCACCTCATCAAATGGCAATGGACATGGAGCTATTCTCAGCTCTTAGCTCTGTGGCAGTGTCTAAAACTGGGTGAAAAGGCACCGCCGAAAGCGCCACGGTCGCCACCTATAGGTGCACATCTAAATGTGCATCAAATTGGCCGTTAGGACACTGATTGCAGGAGGTGGACACTGTTATGTCTTGTGCTTGATTAGGGAAGTCTCTGCATGGGTTTCAGTCTGTATTATTTCATCAAGTGAAAAATAGGAAACGCTGACAACCTCGAGGCTTCTACTACAACACTATACTTCATTCACTAGAGAGCACTTGTCAAGACAATACAGGAACTATATAAGTTACTTAATATATATGATTATTAGGCTCAAGGAAAATAATAGCTGAATGGACCAGTGACCATGTCAAATAAATATGGCTAAACAATATTTTTTACTGACAGTCACTCTAATAAAGATAGGTATCAGGGTATCGCTGTTTTGTTTTCAATACCAAGAAGAAATTAAAACATGAAGTGTTCAAACTTACTGTTGATACAAGATATGTGAATAGGCTTTCAGTTCCTAACACGAGAGATCAATTTTTGATTTGATGAGTTTGCTTTAAAAAAATGATGCAACTAAGAGCATTCATCAGATATAAAATTAAACACAATTCATCTCGTTTTATTTCTCATTATATATCAAACACCTTCACATTATTATTAACATTATCCACGACATACAGAGAGTCGTTATGAACCAACATTCCCTTGGGCCAGCTTAGTCCATCCTCTGAATTCCCGATGCATTTCATAAATGTCCCATCACTTTTAAAGATCTGAACTCTTTTATTGTCCTTCTCAGCCACTATGACGTGTCCAAGTTTGTCAACAGCCACCCCAGTGGGAGTCTTAATATCCCCGAGTTTGTGACCAGGGCAACCAAATTTGGATTTGAAGTTGTATTTTTTATCAAAAGTTATGATGTTATTTTGGCCATAGTTAGATACAATGATGTCACCGTGGTGATGTATGCATATGAAGTAAGGGTGCTCTATGGCTACATGGTCACTGCTTGATNGTGAGATCCTGAAAGGAATAAATGGCTGAGATAGGGGGGTGTGGAGGGGAATGACAGGGATAGAAGTATATATACTGAAACATACAATGTGTATTAACTGGTAAAATACAGAAGGGAGTATATATGTGGGGAGGGGTGGGTGGGGTGTGTGGGTGAACAGATACATACTGATTGTTTTAACTGGTGAGATTTAGAAGGAAGTATACATGTGGCTGAGGGGGAAGGGACGGGAGGGAGACAAGATGAATGAAGAGAATATACTGTATGATGAGGCTGGGGAAAGCACAGCTTTAAAGGACCTGAGATATCAAAAATTATATCATTATGGTATAATATGGTCAGAAGGATTATGTTATTAAGGGATATTTAATGTCGAAGTTTTTGTTTTCTGTTTTAAAATGAGCATGCTATTTCATTTGATTGGAATACTACTATTACTAATTGCTATTTATTTATTTAATCTGTCATTGCATAAAGGGAAACATTGATATATAATTGAAATTGCTAGTTTTTTCACATTTCTTTTACTCCTGTATTGCAGGCGCTACATTTGGCGAACATACTGGTTATATTTCAATGGGCAGAAGCTGACAGAGGACAAAAAGCCAATCAAAGAGTGAGTTTATTTTAATTCCTGAAAAATGTGACCAACTTGTTGCAGAATTTTTTTCATTCCCCTTTTCATTCAAGTCTTACAACATCTCACTAAGTTTTGTTTTCAGAAAATGAACAAAGTTCCTTCATTCAAGCTTGAACACATGGGAATACAATGAAATAAAAAAGAACCAATTTTGATTGAAAGTTCAGATAGGATATAGGAAATTTTAGTTTGAAAGAAATTATAGAGTAAAGATGCATTCATCTTCAATTGTTTCAGTTATGGCATTGGCAACCGTGATGAGGTGACATTCATTAAGAGGCTGAGACAGCAATGACAGCGCCACCTAATTGATCAGGATGAGAATTTGCCCTCCATGATTGATGAGCAGACCATTTCTGGGGTTTGTGGTAACAGCCACCTCATCAAATGGCAATGGACATGGAGCTATTCTCAGCTCTTAGCTCTGTGGCAGTGTCTAAAACTGGGTGAAAAGGCACCGCCGAAAGCGCCACGGTCGCCACCTATAGGTGCACATCTAAATGTGCATCAAATTGGCTGTTAGGACACTGATTGCAGGAGGTGGACACTGTTATGTATTGTGCTTGATTAGGGAAGTCTCTGCATGGGTTTCAGTCTGTATTATTTCATCAAGTGAAAAATAGGAAACGCTGACAACCTCGAGGCTTCTACTACAACACTATACTTCATTCACTAGAGAGCACTTGTCAAGACAATACAGGAGCTATATAAGTTACTTAATATATGATTATTAGGCTCAAGGAAAATAATAGCTGAATGGACCAGTGACCATGTCAAATAAATATGGCTAAACAATATTTTTTACTGACAGTCACTCTAATAAAGATAGGTATCAGGGTATCGCTGTTTTGTTTTCAATACCAAGAAGAAATTAAAACATGAAGTGTTCAAACTTACTGTTGATACAAGATATGTGAATAGACTTTCAGTTCCTAACACGAGAGATCAATTTTTGATTTGATGAGTTTGCTTTAAAAAAATGATGCAACTAAGAGCATTCATCAGATATAAAATTAAGCACAATTCATCTCATTTTATTTCTCATTATATATCAAACACCTTCACATTATTACTAACATTATCCACGACATACAGCGAGTCATTATGAACCAACATTCCCTTGGGCCAGTTTAGTCCATCCTCTGAATTCCCGATGCATTTCACAAATGTTCCATCACTTCTAAAGAACTGAACTCTCTTATTGTCCTTCTCAGCCACTATGACGTGTCCGAGTTTGTCAACAGCCACCCCAGTGGGAGTCTTAATATCCCCGAGTTTGTGACCAGGGCAACCAAATTTGGATTTGAAGTTGTATTTTTTATCAAAAGTTATGATGTTATTTTGGCCATAGTTTGATACAATGATGTCACCGTGGTGACCTATGCATATGAAGTAAGGGTACTCTATGGCTACAAGGTCACTGCTTGCTATTTTATGGAGGCACTCCCCTTCTCTGTTGTGTATGAATATACAGTGTAAGGTCCAGTCAGAAATGAGGACCCGATCGTCATTGACTGCAATCCTGAGTCCAGATGCCATGTTACTGTTTGTAAACTGGTGCTTTAAAGTGCCGTCAAGATGGTGGAACTGGATCGTTCTCGCTGCCAACCCACATGCTTTGTATACGACTGGTAGTACTAGTTCCTTGTGGCTGCTGTTATATACAATACATGAAGTGCCGCCCCATATTTGTTGTTTATATTCAGGACAAGCCACAACAAAATGGCCTTTGTAGCAGTATTCAATATTCAAGTCCTCATCAACTACCGAGGTGAAAATTTGAATTCTGTGTAGGTCAGCCACATATATTCTGCCCTCATCATCTGCTGTGATGTCATTTGGCTGCTCAAACTGTCCAGGTTGCTTTCCACGTTCTCCAAATACTTGTATGTGTTTCAAAGATGCTTCATACATTTTTAGTCTGAAAGAGTCGAAAAATATATTAGAAAGTAAAACAAAATAATAAGTAATTTTCAGATACATACATAATGTTCAGTATCCCTGCTGTACATGCAATACCTTTTTTTTTTTTTTTTAAATTTTATACCTTTAATGGAAGAAAAAATCCAAACTACAGCTTTTTCAAAACCGTAGAATCTTTATATATTTTAAAATATAACACAATGACACGTTAACTTGTATCTTTACATCCCATTCTTAGTGGTCATTATACCAATGCAGCTTCTAATTATAAGCTATGGAAGAATACAGAATGTTCAAGTGCCGTTTTTCAGATCAAATCTTTTTACCACTGAGTGTCAAGTGTCATCATTACTCTAGATATTTGCATTAATGCATGTATTAATTTTTCATTATCGCAACAACGGCATTTGGACTTTTCTTTAGCGCTAAAACTGTAAAAAGAATTCTGTTCCCCGTGCAAAGAGGGGTACCTGTTTTGACAACACATGACCTGCCATCTATCGTGCAATTTTATGAGAGCAGTTTTAGTAATGTTTTTAACTCACATTTGGCTGCAAGAACATCAGTCCCTCTCAAAACCCCCAAAAATATGCAGAAATATTTCGATGTATGTCCAATTTACAATTTATTCCTAATTTATATACTTTGAATATTGACATTATTTGCCGGATATTGCCGAATGTTCCCGGATGTGAACGAAGAACACCTCAGCAAAGATGGCAGACTCACCGGTTGGCGAAGGCGATTTCGATCCTATGGCGGAAATTTCTCAGACAGAAGCTGATCCAGCGGCAGCCTTTTTAGCCAGAGAGCAAGATGAACTAGCTGGACTAGAAGATGACACTTTCGGCGTCTCCGGTGGTCAGCAAAGCGGAGGGCAAGGTAAATAGAATGGCATCGATCTCTTGTCGGGGGCGTCACCGTCTAAGAATGTCTTAAAAAATGTGTCACAAATCTTAATTAAAGAACACACTTCGGGTATCGAATTGATTGTAGTGTCTCTGGCTGTAAATCATAGATGTCGGCTGTGCGTTATGTGTTGATGTAACTGATATCTCCGAGGAAGTTTTTTGCTACTCACCTGATCTGGAAATCGATTTTGACCCTCATCGCTTTGTTCAAGTGAAGTGAAAGTTTAAGGTGATAACACGCGTGTGGGATTTTAAACTTCAGTTACTACCTTGACTGACTTTGGCAAATTACTCATTAATTCGTTATTGGTTTTCAGATTTTGGATTTGATGATGATTTAGAACAACCCCCACAGCAGCAGCAGGTAGTGTATGGTGGGGGTCACTCTGGGTGTATTGTGTACGGTGGGGGTCACATTGGGTTGATAATTTGGTGGGGTTTATTTTTAGATTTTTCAGAGACCAAATCTGATTTGTTTACCAGGGATACCAAAGTTGGACTTACAGGTGTACTTATTGTGACCTGACAATATTTTCCGTGTGGTAAAGTTCAATAAATTATAACTGGGTTTCATGCCGGTTAGTAGTATTTTTAAATTTATTTTTAAGAAAACTTAAAAAGAAATGATGAGCTAAGATTTGGTATCTGGGAAGATGTTTTTATAAACTTATATCAGTGTGCTTGTGTTCCTAAAAAGCATGTTTGACTTATAGATGTAGATTCTTTAATTTTGTGATTTATGTTTGACTACTAGTACTAGTATCTATGTCTTGTTCCTTCTGTTCATAGAGCATTTGGGATAATGTTTGTTTAATACAAGTCTAGTGTTTAGCATTAACATATTGTGGTTTATTTATTTATTTATTTATTTATTTATTAATTTATTTATTTATTTATTTATTGTTGCAAGTGCTTTATGTTTTGTAGAGTAATGTTGGAGACTTCCTAGATGACTTTGGTGCCCCACCTCCTGCTGTGAGCATTTTATTCCTCATTTTAATTTTTTTTTTTTTTTTTTGTTATTTTTCTCACAAATAGTTATTTACTAGAATTAGAGTTTTATTACTGAGAGTGTGGCTAGCATTTTGATCTCAGTCAAATGTATGTGAACAAAAAAGCACTAGAAAGATAACATATCTTCACTTGACCTGGTGTTAAGAAAATTTGAAGTTGCCTGTTGAACTGTTGGAAAAGAAAGGGGTAAGGGATATTAATATCAGATATTTTGGTCTTAGAAGGTGAGTGCTATTTTTAAAATTTCACAGACATTGACAAACTTAACATTCATGGAAGGTAAATATTTTGATATCTTTTCTGGTGCTTTTATTCTTGAAGATGGTCTGAAAGCTAGCATAGTATGAAAAGATTTGTGACAATGCCTCTATTTTCACTCCTGCTTTCCTTCATTTTTGTTGTTGTCAGCTGTGCAGGTTTGGCATGATGTAGTGTTTTTGGGTAACATTCTAATACTAGTACATTTTTTAGTTCAAACTACATTTCTTTATAGTTGAGTTTCAAGAGTTCTTTAACTTATTTGTTTAAATGTTTTATTTCGTTTAACAGCATGTTTATTTTATTTTTGACCTATTTCATTACAAACATATTGTACAGTACTTACATTAAAGTCCCATGTCAATGTAGACAGTTCAGTGTTGTAAACTGATAGCATTTTGAATAATGTGTATAGTTAGGATTGGTTTTGTCATGATGAATTGTGTTTACAGGCGACATCTGGTGGCGAATTTGACTCCCTTGGTGGATATGACAACCAAGAGTATAATGATGTAAGATGTCTTGGTTGTACTCCCAGGCAATACTAATACAATATTGATACTATATTGATACAAGGGACAGGGTAGGGTGCTTTGGGCTTAAAGGTACATACGAACCGAGCGTGGATATCCAGTAACACATGGAAACCACTACTACTAGTTTCTTGTATGACTAAAATAAATTCGACATGCCAAGGGATAAACTGAATAGATCACTCGATCAGCCATAAAAGAGCTTGAGACTGCTCCTTTCTTTAAATTTTTGGTTGGAAATTTAACCTACTTTTGTGACCTACTTTTCTGCCCCATTGGCATACAGCATAGAATGCTAGCAGAAAAATCCGTTCAAACATAACTTTCGGGTAAAATTAAACAATGCCTTTTGGTATTTGGTTGGTTTTTGTGACAAAAAATCGACTTTGTATGCATCTTTAAATGTCTAGCACAACTTTTGAAGCTGCTAGGGGGTAATTAACATTAGTCAGTTACTCCCTAGTTACTCAAGGGGACGTGGCAGCCAATTAAGCTGATTACACTTTAGCACTTTAGCGAGAAGCGCAATAGAGTTAGATCCATCCTGCAGGTACAATGGGTTTATGGGAATGCAGTTTTGGTACACTGGCTTGCAAATTAAAGCACGGTAGCAAAATATAGGTGTCTAGAAGTAGAGGTAACAGACTCCTTTAGAAAGAGAGAATGATCCATATATTGAGGTGATAGATTTTATAATCCATATAGTCACATGTGTGCTACCAGGTATGTGGGATTCATTTAGAGCACAACAGTCCATTTCTTTCACTGTCAGGTGATAGGCTATGATGAAGAAGTACTTTTATATTTACTTAAGACTAATATTGCTTATGATTTCTACCAAATCTTCATGTTTTGTTGATTTTAAAATTTTATTTTGCTAATTTCTCTATAGATGTCTCATTCTTTGTATTTTTATCTGAACTAATGCACAAGCTCCTCACAGATCTAAACTGAAGTAAGCTTAGCATGTGTGCCTTGACTTGGTATTTTATTTAAATTTTTACTCGGTTTTTTGAAAATGAAGAATAATATGGGGTTTTATTTTGTCCCCTCTCCCCCAATGTACGTTTATAAAAGGAACATTTGAGAATTTTTGAGGTCAAAACCTTATGCCTTCTTTACAAAAGAAAAAAAAAACTTCAATGTTACATATGCAATGTTCAGTTTGTATACATCTTTACTGATATTCATTATTTCAGATGAATGGCCCTTCTGACACGTATTCCGCCATATCTCAGGTCGACAGACAGCGCCAAGAGCCAGAAAAGATCCGCCTCTGGAGAGAACAGCAAAAAGAACGTCTGGAAAAGAAAGGTTTGTCACTCTAGGCTTCATGTTGGCACAGAGAGAGAGAGCAAACAGTTCTTCCAATGAAGAAAGAGTCTTTTGCAGTCTGTGCCAACATCTTTTTAGTCTTTTTACCCTTCAGTATGCCAGGGTTTATGAAACCACTGGCTCTTAAGTAGATCTAAAATTTGAAAATGTTTTTTGTTAAGAAGTATTGATTCTCCTTTTGTTTGAAAAAAAAAAAAGTACAGTAGTGCATTGTTTCAGATAATTATTTTTGACAATATATTTTGAGAAAATGTAAATCATGCAGCTGTGGATTAAACTAAAAAAAAAAATAAATAAGATAACAATGATAATAAAGTAATAAAACTAAAGTTTGGAGGACTATATGTTTGGTAAAAATCTCATGGAGCACATGATTCTTAATGTTACCAACTTTTGTATTCCAGATGCAGACGAGGCAGAGAAGAAGGAAGAGTGGCGTGAGGCGGCCAAGAAAGAGATGGAAGACTGGTATAAACATAGGGCGGAGCAACTTCAGAAGACAAAGGAGACAAACAGGTCTGTGTGTGTGTATGTGTGTGTGTGTGTGCGTGCTCATGTGTGCAACAAAAAAAAAAAAAGGAGACTGTAATTGCCTGGAGAAATGGATGATTGAGTGTGAATTTGATTGCGTGCATGTGTACATGCGTGTGTAAAAAAGCTACGGAAGACAGAGACAAACTGGCTTTTTGGTTAGGGGAATTGTTTATTTGTATATCGCCTCAACCATCTATTGAAGTGAACATGTTATAGGATATTTTCAAAAATTGGGAACCTGATTTATTTTCCTGTTTGTTTTTTCAAAAATGGATTTTTTTAAAAATCATATGCAAGCAACATATTTCATGCACTGAAAGATAAATTATGTTTTTTATTTTACAATTTTTTGTTAGACTGTCAATCCAGAATTGACTTCATTTGTGTGTACTTGGTTGTTTTGTGGTTTAGCTTTGATTTTTGAATTTTGTCACTCAGACTACTGCAGGAGAAACGAGGGTAAGAATGGAAGGCATGGGTACAGGGTTTATACAAAGTTTATTTATCTATCATTCTGGTGAAGGAGAGGTTTTAAAAACTGCACAATGTTTTAAGGACCTTCCTAAAAAGCTGCCTTTAGGGAACATACTACAAGCATGAATGGATGTGAGAGCTGAAGACAGAAAACTGGTTGATAAGAATATTTCATGGGTTGAATCATTCTACTAGTACCATTGCATGCTGATACACCTCAACTCACCTGACTACCGCAGATTTAGTGAAGTTTTTGTACAAAGTCAACATTGGCTAAGAGCAGAGAATGCAAAATAAATAAATAAATAACTAAAAGAACCGATTTCTTTAATTTAAAATGTTTAATCTTCTTCAAATTTTCCTCTTGTTGTTGTGGTTTGCTATCGTAGGCATCCTTCAGACCTCCAGTCACAAGGCTTCCTTGCCATTTCTTCCAGGACCATTTTTTTTTCACAATCCAAAGCCATGTTTGAAGACTTTATATGATCATTTTGTTGTTTGATATCTTAAATAATATGTGAATGGTGAATGCAAATATGTATGAGTATAATTGAGAAAGCAAAATGAAGACACGTCTCAGGTTTTGTTTGTTGTCGTATGTCTGCCATTATTTCTGGTCCCTCTCTCCACCATGCTTTTACACGAAGGTGCGCGACTTCTGGCTCTCTCAAATGGTTCCCATCAAATATTCCTGACCAGTATTACTAGTAGGTTCCAGGTCGCTTACTTCCCCCATTCTTTTCTGTATCATACACAACAGATTTCTGTTGATATTCATCTGTGAGTGGAGGGTTCTTGATGATATTGAAATTTTATGGGTATTTTTATCAATTTTATGTTTTTTTTTTTCTTTCCCCTATTTCATGCTGTATTTATTATTTTACACTTTAAAATACATAAATTTTGGAAATCACGTTAAGGAAAAAGTTTTAAACTCCAATGATTTGCATTTTAAATGCAAAAATGCATGAAAGCAGAACTATAAGTCAACGTGGGATTCTGCACTGGGTGATTGACTTGAGTATTATCATCTGAAACCTAAGACATTTTTTCTCTATTCTAGAGCTGCGGAGGCAGATTTCGTCAAAGAGCGAGATGAAACAATTCCAGGAGGCGAGTGGGAGAAGATTTGCCGACTGTGCGAGTTCAATCCTAAAGGTTCCAAAACTACAAAAGATATTTCCAGAATGCGTTCCATCTTACTGCAACTAAAGCAGACACCATTAGTCAGATAGATGGCAGTAACTGCAGCTTAGAAAGACTGTCTTGGAAATAAATGTGGTAGTTTCATGTAAAGCCCGTCTTGGAGAGGCCCCCATGTGGAGATATTTGTGAAATGTTATAGGTGGGGCCACAATATGAGTTTATAAATGTATAGAGCCACAATACATGTCAATATGTAATGTATAATAGAAAGATTGTAGATGTGAGTAATGTGTAGAAATTTACAATATCTATCAATTTAAACAATATCATATCTTCCCCAGTGTGCATCACTGGAAGTTACAGTGTTACATGTAACTTCACCCATTTATTTTTAAACAATGAACCGCGTTAAAGTTGTGGTAGAAATTATACAACAGAATTGTCTGTTTTGTGAAGTTCAAAAATTATGTAATATAATTGTGGTAAAACAAGAATGTAAAGATTACTTTTAGAGGTAAATGAGTTTTAAGATTCTTTGATCTGAATAAATGAAGTTTACATTACTAACAAGAACTTTCTATATGTGAACAGCATAACAGCTATAATTGAACTGACACGATTCTGTTATAAGGTTTTATTACAATTTCCATCATAAATTACAATATCAAATAAAAAGAAACTTGTGGCCAGACAATGAACACTGATATTTCAGCAGATAAAGTGATGACTTTTTCAATGTACCAAAGCTTTACTGATCAACACGAATCTTCACAAATTATCACGCTTAAACATTTTTTTTAATTAAAATATCTTTTTATTGTGCAATGTTGAGAAGTTTGCCTTTCTGGCATTATTCCTCACATAATGATATATCACCTGTCACATCGAGCACCTCAAGATCAAGTTATAAAGATTTCTTACGTACACAGATTCCATACATTCATATAAGGAATTGATTGTCCAATTTATGCCATATGCAAGACAGATGGTTTGGGCTTGGCTTGTTTCTTATCTCAGTATTGTGCACCCGCTATTTTAGCACAGTTTCGTACCACGTAACAATACCAAGTAACCCAAGATCAGCATATAATTCCTTCTAAGTGACAAATAGCATCCAGGACGACAACATAGGAAATATACATAATGTACACAGTTGCTGTGAGTAAAAGCTTGTTTCAGGACGGCACATTCTGTTTTGTTCGTGCATGCTGGGAGAACAGTGCCTGCTGGGATGTCAGATGAGAAATGATAATGAAAGGACAAAAAGCTCGGGGTAATAATGTGTTACAGGATTTGAGAGAGAGTATGATCATATTTAACAGAACAATAAGGCACTTGTCGGAAAGCAAACATATGAAGGATATGATTTATGTAAGAGAAGGAGAGATGGGTTATCTTAGTTTGATATGTTGTGGACCTCTAAATACGAGTTCTTACTAAAGAAAGTCGTATGATTCTTCTTAATTTCCCTGAATCTAGCGATATCGATGAGATTTAAAAGTGCATGTAATACTACAGTCATTCTTAGCCCCAGAATACATCAACATCGTGACATATATTCTGTCAGAGGTATCAGTAAAAGTTATCACTATTGTAACAGGCATGCCAACTGATAACGCAAGAATAGATCTGCTAAAGTTGACTCTTTAAGATCAGCTTTATTGTCTGTGCAAAAAACACTGAAACCACAAACCTTCACTCCAACGGTGTTTGGAATAAATTAGTTCACAGCAAAAACAGTCTGATGACCAGTTATTAAAACATTTTATTGAACCAATTCCTTTAATTTCATCAGCAGAGATTCAATTTTCACTGGCATTTAGCATAGTGTAAGTGTCAATACTGCACGCACACTAAATTTTGTATCAATATATACTGTGACAACTCTTCAATATATTTTGTATCAATGTTCACATATTTTAAACATTTCAGTTGACATACCTGCTAAAATCATTTTCCCTTCAGATTTGACAACGTAAAATAAATGTATTAAGTAAAACACTATTAATCATGCTACAAAATAAAAATTGCACAAATTAAAGATTGGAGATGAAATTGTCAATGAGTAATATTTCACCTTTTCCTTGCTTTGGACTTCAGGCAATGCTAAAGTTCACCCAAAACCTAAATTTTGTTTTAGGCTTTAGGGAAAATGCTGAGGTCTTATACCGTAGAACAGCAATTGCCTTTGAATCACTAATAACTGAAACAAAAGTCTTAATAAAAAGCAAATAAAATATGCAATAAATAATCCATTATTTAATTTTAAAAAATTATGCAGTGAGTGCTAGTGACTTGGACCCAGGTATTCATTAATATCAAACTAAATTCATTGATAGTGCTCATAAATGCACAGTGGAGACCCCTGGTGTGCATAAAAAATGACCGAGATTTGCAGGGCAGGAGATTACTGTGACAACTCTTCAATCTAAAGTTATGAAAATGACACCACTTGCATGTAGATGAAGTAGAATAATATTTACTATNAAAAATAAAAAAAACAAAAAATTGAAATATTAATAATAAAAAATTTCCAAATTTACACATACAAATTCAAATTAGAAATTTTTATTCTATTATTTCACACACACACATCTCATTCTCTCTGAACAACCCACAACTTACCCATACGCAAACAGACTGGGGAAAAATCCATACGTTACAAAAGGCGTCACCATGATCACATTGGCCATGCGTGTGAAGACGAAAGTTACACAGTCATACAAAAATGGAACAGCACCTGTACTCTGATCTCCGTCAGGCTTGAAGAATGGACGGATGTTTTTACGAACCTATATAAAAGCAAATGATAACAGACCATAAGTAATTTTCAAAAATTATAACATATTTTATGATAATTCAATTTTATTACACTGTACTTTGCTAAGCCTGGCTAAGACTGAGATTCACTTCTCTAGAATATTAACATAAAGAAAAAATAAAATGATGTGCAAAACATACCGTTCTAGCTGCAAATAAAAAGATGGCAGCACTGAAGAAGGCCAGATAGTAACCAGGGTAGAAACCATGCCAGAAAGCACTGACAGCAAAGGTTGCCAGGGTCTTCTGGAAAGGTATGCGGTCGTAGACGATGCGTCTGAGCCAGATCAAGGTAGTCTTGTTCCAGGTATCGATGTTGACTTTGATACTAGTACATGTCTGGAAATAGAAACTGAATTTACTGAGAGCTTATCTGTATTGTAAGGGATGCACCTTCTCATTTTAATTATTCCATCCAACTAAGAGATTGCCATCCGACTACCCCTCACAAACTGACACACAATTTAACTGACAATAATAACCACTCCCCATAACAAGTAATATAGGAGGTGTGCTGTACATTTATAATTCTCTTAAATTCAACAGTTGCCAAGGGAGATTAGTTGCCAGGCAACATAAGTAGTCATGTAATTTCAGTCAGTTGCCAGGCAATACCATATGTCAGAAGATTTCCATCTGATAATTTAAGGTCTCAGTTTAAGGGTTTAACAAAAAATCACAGCTGCAAAATGTACAAGGACACATTGCTCTCCCTCCCCACATTTACACAGAAGACACATTGGGAGATAAAATACTGTAACTTCCTTTATTTTTCTGAATCTTCAGATACTACTTTCGTACCTCTAACTTCCATATATCCATGTTATTAAGCCTGTCCCACTTCTCATTCCCGTCTTTGTCATAGCCAGCAAACCCCAGGCCAGCAGAGGTGTTGACCAGTTCACCTGAAATATACAATGCATACACATATACCTGCATGTTTACTATATTTTCCAAGTCCTTTCCATTCTACATACCATGATAATCTAATCAAATTAAATGCAATCAACCTGAAATATAAAATATATACACATATTATATGTATGAGCATGCACGTTTCACATATTCTCTTAGTGCTTTCTAATCTATGAACCATCACAATCTAATCAAATTAAATTCTTATTTCAAGTTATCTTAAACACCTATATGCCTCTGAAATGCAAGCGTTAAGTATTTTTGAGGTCAACCTTTAAAGACAGTCACTAAATAAATAAATAAAACTTGTATATGCACACACAGACATCGCTCTCACCCAGTTTCCAGGCAAAGTAATACTTGCTCCTTGTGACTGACAAGCTGACCAGGAGATACAGGTTCTTCTGCAGGAAGGACAAGCTGCCAAACCACGCTATATCTGTGTCAAATAAAGGGAGAGTTCTACGTAAGCACTGATAAAATGTTTAATATCAATTCACAAGTTGCCAAACCAAGCTGTATCAGGAAGACAAGCAAATTAAATGAGAAATTTTAGTAGTATTTGATTAATATGATTTTTTTAAAGATACATAAAGAAAAAGAGTCCGACATTTCATGCTAAGCCAATAATAAATACAACAAACTGTCATATTATCACTTTCTGAAAAAAAAAGTACTTCAGTTCTTCATTACTTCCAGATAACTCACCGTGTATATTTTCTGATGGCACAAGCGGCAGGACAAACATCATGAGGACAGCGTTGACGATGGTAATGATCAGGTTTGGGAACATGGAGGGCTGAAAGGAAAACACATACTTTATACTACAGCATAAAATGACAATGTCAACCCAAAATTCCCAGAGATGCTAATCTCTTGGTAACAATGTGATAAAAACTAAATATTTTGATTTGTGGAAGGCTGAAGGGAAAACACACATTTTATACTACAGCATGAAATGACAGTGTTCTTAGGCCATGTTTAGAATAACAATTATTGTACTAGCAGGATTGATCTATCTCAGCAGGAATTCTTGCTAAGGCACAGTCAATTTAATTATTCAATTCAATTTATTTCTGTACTGGTACATAGATTGTCATGACCTTGTACAATATGATATACAAATGATGATACAATACAGTTAGTGCATTACCATCTTTAATGTAATCAGCTTAATTGTCTGGCATGCCCCCAGATGCTAATCTTATGTTCACAATGTGATAAAAGCTAAATATTCTGATAGATGATCTGATAATAAGCCAGACTTCAGAAAAACTCACCACTGGGTTCGGAATTCTCACTTTGTGGTTATTCTGAAAGTGAAAGTGTAGGTAAAGATAAATTGATGAATGTGAAAAACATAGCATCTAACAATGACATCAACTTGCACAGAAGATTTGGTTTTTCAGTTTACCAACAGCTAAAAATCTCAACCTGACATCTCCTTCCTCCCTTTCCCCATCTTTTCTTAACAACAGGGGTGTTCTTTCAAAGTCCCCATTTTTCCCGCCTACTCTAAAGGAAAATCCCAATCCCTCCCTCTCTCCCTCCCTGCCTCTCCCTACCTCTGTGACCTGGGGTGCCTGTATATCCTCTCCTTCAATAAATGCCTTATAGTCCACATAGAAAACCAATGGTCCCACCATTACATTATGGAAACTGAAGATATAGCTGTAGTACTCTAAAGCTGTGGGGATTCGCCTGTGGAAGATATTGTATTTAGTATTTATTGGAACTTAAAATAAACTTATATGGAATATGGAAAATACTGATAAGGAACAAAAGCACTGCAACTTAATGAAACGTTTTAAAACTAAGCATTACACAAATCTAACTTGAGAATGAACTGAACTTTATTTGGTTTTTCAGAAATTTTATTTGGTGAAAAGAAGGGAAAAATAATGACAGACAGATATACAGGAGACTAGGATAAGTGTGTGTGTGTGTGTGTGTGTGTGTGTGTGTGTGAGAGAGAGAGAGAGAGAGAGAGAGAGAGAGAGCAAGATACTTTATAGCTTGTTTCTTTTGGTCTTCTGAGAGATTCTCCTCCTTTTTCTCCATTCCGTCATGCAATGCAAAGGCCAGACTGCTGACTTTCTGTGTTATAATCATGAGAGGGCTGTAATGGCAATAAAAGTTAAATAGTTACTAGTAAAAGCACACTTCGTGATCTCCATTTCAACGTAAGATCCAGCATTATAATTATATATCCTTAATCTCTTTCATTATAATTTAATATGATTTAATTATAATTAATTTTTTCACTGTTTGCTTTTATTGTGCTTGACATTGTTTTTGGTATGACAACAGAATTGTGTTAGATGTGCCACAGACACAATCTGTGTACACCTACCCTGTGATATCCATACTGTAACCTCCATAGTCATATAATATTCTGTAGATATGGATAACAGATAAATACCCCATTGTGTTAGATGTGTAACAGACACAATCTGTGTACACCTACCCTGTGATATCCATACTGTAGCCTCCATAGTCATACAGCATCCTGTAAATGTGTGTCACAGACAGGTATCCCATGGAGACCAACAGGCTGGCCAGGTGGAACTGTTTTCTGTCAGCGTATTTCATAATCAGCAGGCAGAGGGTGGACTGGAGGATGGGGTGGATGATTTGTCTGGAATTGTCAGTTTCAGTCTGTGAATATGAAGCACTTTTGAGTTATAATTATGTGTGATAGAACCTTCTGTAAAATGGCAGGAACTGTTGTCATGTCTCAAAAGTTTTTTTTTCTCTTCACTTTTTAAGCTTCAGATAAAAAACCATGTGCAATTTTTTGCCAAACAGCTAAAAGCAACATTTAATCAATAATTTACATATAATTATTCATAGATCCCAAAATCCCTTCATTCTTTCTTACACAATGTTACCATTTTTATCATTTGTTTAACAATATTAAATAATAAAAGGTACTAATACAGTATCTAAGGGCTGGCTAGAGGTTTAGTCCACTTACTGTCCAAAGCAGAAATAAGTGAGAAACATCCCTAGAAAAATTTCGATTCCATTCCTCAGTGCGGGAGAGGCTTGGAGAGGACCAAAGACTGTCCTGAATGGATAGCCCAACCCCAGTGCCACCAGCTGGCAGATCAAGAAGTTCAACTGGAAATAAATCAATGTTTGGTTCAGGAAAGAGAATTATTGCACATGACAATAATCAGGAGCGGATTTAGGCCATCTTCTGGGTCTTCTGGAAGACGGTCAGATTTTCAAGTTTACATTGATGGGTATCTGATTTTTTCTGCAGGAAGACGTTCAAAAATGGGGGATGGATCAACAAAGATAATTTGGAAGACTGTCAGAAAATATCTCTGAATCCGTCCCTGAAAATAACATATAAAGATTTTAGATTTTTAATTAAGACTTCCACAAATTTCATACCTACCTCCCCCCCCCCCTCCCCAAAGGAATAAAGGTTTTAGCACGCCTCTATAAAAGCAGAGCTTCAAAAACTGGAAATTCACCAATTGGCACAAGGTGAAAATTAAAAATCCATTCTTGCACTGTAGTTTTATTGTTCCCAGTAACACGATACAGTTCTTCATTCTTTTTGCCCCATAATTCATGAAAATTCCATAAAAAAACAACAACAATGCCTATAATGTATTAGCTAGAAGGCCATTAAAATAAACAATTTAACAGCCTGACAGCTGCATTTCAGTTTAGGGAAGGTTCTCTACTGCAGCTGTGGATTTCTGTCACCGGCTTAAAAAATACAAATACCAGAACATGTCTGAATGTAGTCTACCATGTACCATTCCATACCAGTAACACAGTACACAGGTTTAAGTTAATATGGGGTGGGGGGGGGGGGG